AAGTGCCACAAACATCCATCTATCATCTGATTATGCACCAAAATCTGAAGCAGAGTTAGAGTATATGTCTCGAATTCCATACTCCAATGCAGTAGGAAGCCTGATGTATGCTATGGTCTGCACTAGACCAGACATAGCACATGCTGTTAGTGTTGTTAGCAGGTTCATGGGACAACCTGGAAAGGAGCACTGGCAGGCTGTGAAGAGGATTTTCCGCTACCTGAGAGGTACGTCTGATGTTGGTCTCATATATGGAGGTGGTACTCACTGTTCTATGATCGGCTATTCTGATTCTGATTATGCTGGAGATGTTGACTTCACTCTGGGTGGTTCTGTTGTTAGTTGGAAAGCAACTTTGCAGACTGCAGTTACTTTCTCTACTACTGAAGCAGAATATATGGCGTTGACAGAAGCTGCTAAAGAGGGAATCTGGTTGAAAGGGCTAGTTGGTGATCTTGGTCTGCATCAAGAGCAAGCTATTGTGTTCTGTGATAATCTGAGCGCTACTGTTTAGCCAAGGGTCAGGTCCATCATGAGAAGACCAAACATATTGATGTGAGGTGTCATTTTCTAAGGAATGAGAAGAAAATCAAGGTGGAGAAAGTGGGCACTGCTGATAACCCTGCTGACATGTTCACCAAGCCGGTCCCACATAGCAAGTTCCGACATTGTTTGGACTTGCTTAACATCAGAAGCTGTTAGTAGCCTTGCGGGGCAATTCTGAAGAAGAGGGGGAGGTCTGGCACAATCAAGAGTGCGTCTGAAGAATCAGTATGGAGAATTCAAGTCAAGGTGGAGATTTGTTAAAATGCCTTGAATCTGACCCATCACAGCTCCGAATCCGGAGAAGTCCGTTTTCGGAGAAGTCAGAGTTCGGAGAAGTCAGAGTTCGGAGAAGTCAGAATTCGGAGAAGTCAGAATCCGGAGAAGTCAGAATCCGGAGAAGTTAGTTGGGCTTCTAATTATCTGTTAACTCTGTAGTTTTGGGCCCAAGTATGTTAGGGTTTAGTCAAGCACTATTTATATGGGTGCTACCACAAACCCTATGAGATGTACTCTGTTTTGCCTCTCCTTCAGAAATAAAACTGCTCCCCCTCTTCCCGTGGACTAGCCAACACAACGTTGGTGAACCACGTTAAATCTGTTGTTGTGTTTTTCTGTTTGTTCTTTGATTACTCAATACCCTATTCCGTAACAACAAGAACTATCAACAATTGTAATATTGAAGAAATATAGTCTTGGAATTTAGAAGATTTCAATGAACTCTAAGGTTGTATTTTGATCCTAGAGATTAACTGGGAATTTAAAAGAAATCCATATTCATATTTTTTTGTTTAGTTCAACTTTAAAAGTAAAAGACTACAAAATATGACTAGCATTTTACAATAAACACTATGTGTTAAGATTTATAAGGGCCTATTTATTTTTATAATCAAGTGTTTCTCTCTTATGCTTGCAGAATTGTTTGCTACTTAGAATTTACTTAGAGCTTCTATGCTCTAACTCCTGCATTTTTTTAGGCAACGTTTACCGAGTTTTATTAAGATAGATTCCTCACTACAAAGTGAGGGGAGGACCAAACCAAGGCCTAACGCCAGCCCCTCATACGGAAGACATGCCTTCCGGGGAGTACAATAAGTAAAGAAAGGATGGGGAAGCTAGAACATGGCTTGACCAAAGTCACAAAAAGGTCCTAACTACCAACATACTAATCTAGGGCTTGACCAAAGCCACAATAAGGCCTAAACATACGAAACCCAAACTACGGCATGACCAATGCCACATACAGTCAAAACAAACAACAATCAACCAAAACCAAAGCATTACCAATGTCACAAGATAAGAAGTGCACCATGGTAATGTTTCATTAAAAGGCCACGAGAAAGAAGAATGACAACACAAGAGGAGTGGTAATCATCTCCAAGGGGAGAAATACAAACCCGTCCGAGTCAACCACTCCTCACTTCACAAACCATACATACCAAGACTAGGAAAAGATATTATAAGCGCACCTATAATATCCAAGTTCTCCTTAACCCCAGTAGAACCAGTAATGGTTTTAAAAACCTCCTTCATTTATAATGCCCTCCCCACCCACTTCATTTATTCTTCTTTTTCTTTTTTCTTCTTTCCCTTCTATTTTTTCCCCACTTTCCTTTTCTTATTTTTTTCTTCTTCTCCCTTCCGTCCTGCGACTCTCTCTCTTCTTTTTTTTCATCTCTTTCTTCTTCTCTCTTTTCTTCTTCCTACACCTTCTGTTTTTGTCCAGCCACCTTCTTTTTCTTCTTCTTCTCCGTAGGATCTTTTTCTTCTTCATACCCCTTCTTCTCTCCATCTTCTACTTCTTCCTCCTCTGCAGTATCATCAATAGGAATAGATCTGATGATTGATTTGTAACCTTGCTCGATTTGGACGGATCGATCTCATAAGGTATCTCTGCAAATTTGAGAACTCTAATCTAGATCTAAGACGAAGATTGAGATGGCGACCAGTTGCTATAGTGGCTGAGGAGCAGCAATTGATGCCTTGATGGTGGTGAGTTGAATCGGAAGGAAGGTCCCTCAAGCCGATGGAGAAGCTGGAGAACGAGAAGACTTTTTTTTTGAAAAAAGGACGAGAAGACTGTGGTGACAGACGAGTGGAGGGGATTTAGCTAGGGGTAGTTTTGGAAAGTCAAGGTTATTTTCATTCCACATAAATTTGCGCACCAAGTCAAAGCCGGAAGATAAATTGTGGACGGAGGGAGTATTACAAGCATTAGTATTATCCCCAATAGTAACTGTGTCAAGTGAAGTAGATTTACATATCTTGAAATCAATAATGTTGACCTCTGTATTATAATCCCTTCAATTCTAAATTTTTTTCCTATTTTGACGTTTTTAGTCAAACAGTAAAATTCTTTGATCATAAATTAAACATAATATTAATAAATAAATCATAAAAAATTTGATATATCAAAATTATATTCTAAGGTTAATCCAATTATATTGAACTTATATTATGATTAAATATATTTTTCTCAAAATTTGTGATAAAAATTGCGTTTTTGACCAAAAAAGTCTAATATGAGAGATTTTTTTAGGACTAGGAGTATATGTTTTCCTGATTATTATATGTGTAATATTCTTACCCTGCATCGTCTATGCAACTTCAAACCCATAAGAGACAGAGAAACATTGATCTATCCTGTATTTCACGTGCCATTAATTTCAACGAACATAAAAACAACAATGGTCAATATATTTTTATTACTATATTGAAATTAATACCTATAATACTTTTATTTTTTCTCTGTTAATTCTTAATACTATATTTTATTTTTTCATTATAGATTTTGACGCACAACATTCTTCTGATCAAACAAATGCAGTAGATTCATCAATTTGGTTTCCTATCTCTCGAGAATTAGAATTTATAGGTATGTAATACTCAAAAAGGTAGTTTCTTTTTATGCGTTATCTTAAACTAAACCATTTTATCTAATTTTTTTTCTAAATATTTGTCATGATTTTTGATAATTTTTAAATTTTAAATACTCGACAAAATGAATTTATTTGTGTACAAATTTGGATAATAGTGACGCAGATCCAAAGAAAAGATAAATGGATTTTCGCGAAAGAAGCAAGAACACAACGAAAAAATATACTTCAACAAAGAAGAGTGCAAAACGGTTAATTTACCATAGTTTTTTTATCTGAAATCAATTTTAAACATGTATATCACTCAGTATTATGTGAATAAATATTTTTTTTCTATTTTTACCTTTTGTAGGTTCTATATCAGAGTTTGACAGATTGTCATTAATGTCAAAATCTAGATCAACGTCAATAATAAATCCGCTGGGGGATGTGACAAATGGTATCTATATATTTCTTTATGATTTTTTTTAATGATTTAATATATTATGACTATGCATGGAAAATATTAAATCTTACAAATGAAATAAATAATATAATAGAGCAAATTGACATCTTAATTTTTAATTCTTAAAAAACAGTGTTTGCTTTGCACCAAGTGCAATCGTCAATTTGTATATCAAGGACACCGAAGAACAATGATGCAACAACTTCGACACAATTACAAATGCATAAAAGATAGAGATTCAATGATCTATCTTCTATATCACGTATCGTTGAATTCACTGAAGGTAGTAATTCTACAATCGTATCCTTCATTATACTTCTAACATAGTATATTATGCTTAGCTATATTTTTAACCATTTACTAAAACTGAAAATCTAACAGAGTTAAAAACAACATGTGTTCGATCCCGTGCGTTGCACGAACTCCCTTTTCATGGAGATGCCAGTAGCAAAACCTGTTCGTGAGATGCTATCCTTTAAGTAATGATCTTCTATTTCTTTGGCTTGATTCTAGACCATTTACTAAATTTTGACTCTATTTTTATGTGCTTGCAGTGTGTTCACACCATATTACTCTGAGACTGTCCTGTTCAGCATGATATGTCTGAACTCCTTAGAAGAAATGAAGACGGGATCTTTGCTTTGTTTTACCTACAAAAGATATATCCAGGTATATAACTGTCTTATCTGATGTGACAACTGACAAAGTACCTTCTTTGATAGGATATGTATTTGACAACAGCTCTCCCCTTCCCGCTCCTCCAAAGCTAGAGCATATTAAAGTATGTTCTACGTTTCAAATTTTCAAATATAAAAGGATAATGAATCTTTAATATTGAAAATTGTAAAAACATGAACTTGAGGTCTGAACTTAGAAACTTAAATTCCACAACTTTCGCAGTAGTGACGTAGTGTCACACTAGCATCTTTTTCTTAAACTTGTTTTTTCAATTGAACTTTGTGAAAAGTTAAGATAATATTTCTTTATCTTGATAGAAAATGAAGAAGAATTAAGGGATATATAGGCTGCGAATTTATTTTAATGACATTGATGACATCATACTCTGTATTTCTTAACAATATTCCACACTTCTTATGCTGGAGCATATATAATTTGTTTGAAAGTTTTTACAAATGCAAGTTTTTGTGGTACCTCTAAGTGATTTTGTTTGATGAGTACTGAGGTAGTGGGTGACTATGATCTTCTCTCGGATAAATTGACAATCAATTTCAATGTGGGTGTGGCTGCTCATCTCAGACTGTACTAGTGTACTTGATGTGATGTGTACTGATGCTTGAAAATCTCACTTTAACCAAATTGGTTCTTTGCTCCCATATAATATTTCTGGGAAGAGGAGTTTGTGTTTCATTGAGAACCATTAAGCTCTCACATGCAGCTCGAGCAACCATTTCTTTGTATTCTGCTTGTGCACTTGATTTGGTAACCGAATCTTGTTTCTGCTCTTCCACAGGATTAAGTTCCCATCTATCAAGATATAATACCCCGATATGGCCCCTAACATGATCGTAGTATGCCACAATATTGCCATGACCTTATCTTCATAGAGTAATCTTTGCCCTAATGTGTTTTTGATATACATAAAACTCGTATAGTAGCATGCGAATGATCATTACATTGTTTGTTAAGGAATTGACTGCTTATTTAATGGTAAATGAAATGTGCATGCTCAAGTGATTGTGAGATAATTCAATTTTTCGATGGCAGTTGTATTTCTCTACTCTATGAGCAACTCTATACCGGAAGGAATTAAACATTCAGATCCATAGGTATATCCACAGGGGTACAAAGTACAAACCAACATACCAGATTTTGTAATCAATTATTGATGTTAGAACTATCTCTGGAATTTTTAGAATATAAACAAATCCCGATAGTAAAATACATTGAAATATATTCAAGTCCATGTAGAGTTAATACAATCCATGAATTGAATACATTTGCCTTTTGAGAGCAATTATTAGATTTCAAAACATCACTATTCCCCTTCCGGCTTTCCTTTGATCATGCATGTAATGATCATGAGTGCTCATGTGACCCTTTCAGGCTTTCCTTTGAGCTTAGCTTTTTAAAATTTCATTACCCCTACCTGGACCTAGCATAATTTTTAAAAGGGAATCTGATAAAGCTTGAGTCGAATTTATTGAATTTAGAATGAAAAAGTGTACATCAAGTCCCAATTCGAGAAGGGATAGTCTCCAGACTCTCAAAGGAAAATATAATGAAAAATAATCACACCAGAAAATAACATGACTCAAGCAATAAATCCCACCCCGAGGGGAGATGGGTTACTGCTACGTAACCACCCACTCAGCCATTTAGTGGGTTGTTTGAAATGCCCATTAACATTTTGAGCTGCTCCACTTCTATCGGCCCACCCTGTGCTATCTGCTTTTTCCTTCTTGAATACACCAATCTGATTGGACGCTTATCAGAATCCAAATATACAATATTAAATTTAGGGTTCTATATGTTGTGGCCTTTAATACTCAACTGGCCATTGTTATATCTGGACTTGTTTGTTATTTTTTCCTATACAGGTTGGTTCATTATTGTGAGTATTTTGTAGTGTCAATGGTTCATGAGAAAGAAATTAATGTTGAATGCAGATGAGTGGAGAAACTTCCTTACTCGGATTGGCCGTGATGAAAACACATCAGAATCAGATCTTAGTAATAATCCCAATGATATTCTTGAATTGCGTTTTTGAGCTTCATACAAAGGGCAAACATTGGCTAGGACTGGTACGCGTTTCACTCATATATTTGCTGTCTTATGCCACCAATGTTTTGTCACCTACAACCTATGCTGCGTTCAGCTGTTTCTACATCAAAACCAATAATAATCCCAAGCCTGTTTGGCTATGAAGGTGAAGATGTACAAAAAACTGAGCATGTCTTTCCATTGGACCTTTTGATGCATTGTTGCTTTTACTACCTAAAACTTCCTAGAAAGTAATTAGCAAAAAAAGTTTAGTCCGCTATTACTTGAAGTAAAAACATTGTCACTAACAACTCTTCTAGCTCCAATGGCATGGATGCATGCATTCAACTCTTTGTGTTAACAAATAATGAATGAAGTAATTTTTGCATTCCGTTTTTGTTCCCTAAATTTTCCATGCTCAATCAAAGTATAAACTAGAAATAAAAAAGTGGTTTGCTGGGAAAAACCATTTTTTACCAAGTGGAAAAACAATATGGTATGTGCTCATTTTTCTTTGGTTACTTTTAAAGGAGAAAGGGTGCGAATGTAGCTTAGAAAATATATTGAGATTTGTAAAAAAAAAATGGCTTATATTTTGAACTTTTTTTGAGATGTGATTATTCTTATACTCTATGATTTTGGTTTACAAACACAATTCTTTGGGTTTTGCAGTGTGTGGAATGATGTACTACCGAAAAGCTCTCATGCTTCAAGCATATTTGGAAAGGGTGGCAGCTCAAGGTTATCATATACGAGATGAAGTTATTATGTTCTAATGTTCTTTTTCTTATTAGTCATTATTGTGGTTGTTTACTAAAATTACTATGGTACATGCATCTTTAGATTCTGAGGCTGTAATTTCACCGAGCAAAGCAAATGATACCCAAGGTTTTGAGTTGTCTCTTGAAGCAAGAGCTCAAGTAGATCTCAAATTTACCTATGTAGTTACCTGCCAAATATATGGGAAACAGAAAGAGAATCAAAAGCCTGAGGCTGCGGATATTGCATTACTAATGCAAAGGTGATCAAATGGCGATCTCTTTTATTTAGAAATTAATTGATGATTGTTAGATTTAATCGTATTGTTTAATTCCTGGTCATAAGTTATTAGTTTAGATTTAAATTTTAAAAATAAAAGGGACAGGGGTAGTTATTTCTGGAGGTTATAGGTAGTTATTTCTAGAAGTTGTATTAGTTAGTAATAGATATGTTGATTAGTATCAAAAGTTGTGTTGGTTGATGTCTATAAATAACCTAGGAACATAGAATTCCTGAATGGAGTTCACAATAAAAAATCAGATCTCGAGCATATAAATAGAGTATTTTATAAACAGATCTGCATTTGTTTTGTTCTTCCAATTATTTTCCTACAATTGGTATCGGAGCGTGTGCGATCAGCGGCAAGAAAAGGGAGATCTGCCTTGACAACAGATCAAAAATCTTCGACAAGATTCTCTTCCTCGCCTAGGACAAGAATAGCAAGTGGCTAGTTTTTCCTTTGGCAGAAGCATTCCAACCAAACACTGCGGGAAAAACGAATCAGCGGGGTTGCTTTCGTTTAGTGGCTTGGAAGA